ATGCAGGGCTCGAACTCACAGACCACGAGATCATGACCTGAGCCGAAGTCGGATGCTTAACCGACTTAGCCACCCAGGAGCCCCAATTTTTTAAAGAAGATGTACAAATGGCCAACAGACACAAGAAAAGATGTTCCCTATCACTAATCATGAGAGTAATGGTAACCAAAACCACAATGAGATATAACCTAACACCTGTCAGAATGGCTTGAATCAGAAAGACGAAATAATAAATGTTTGGATATGGAAAAAAAGGCACACTTGTGCACTGTTGGTGGGAATGTAAATTGGTACAGCCACTATAGAAAACAGTATGGAGGTTTCTTTAAAAATTACAAATAGAAATACCCTATGGTCCTGTACTTTTCCTACAGGGTATTTACCCAAAGAAAATGAAAATATTAATTCAGAAAGGTATACGCACTCCTATTTTTCCTGCAGCATTATTTGCAATAGCCAAGATATGGAAGCGATCCAAGCATCCATCAATAGATGAATAGACAAAGAAGATGTGATACACACACACACGTTACTCAGTCATAAAAAAGATGCAATCTTGCCATTTGCAACAACATGGATGGATGTAGAGTATATTATGCTAAGTGAAACAAAAGAGAAAAAGACAAACACTGTATGATTTCACTTATAGGTGGAATCTAAAACACACACACACACACACACCCCTAACAAAATAATCAGAGACAGACCCACAAATACAGAGAACAAAGTGATGGTTGCCAGAAGGGAGGTGAGATGGGGGTACTGGTAAAATGGGTGAAGGGGAGTGAGAAACACAGGTTTCTAGTTATGGAATAAATAAATCATGGGGATGAAAGTCTCAGCATAGGGAATATAATCAATTGTATTGTAATAGCATTGCATGGCAATGGATGGTAGCTATACTTGTGGTGAACATTGCATAAATACAGAATTGTCAAATCACCATGTTGTACACTTGAAATTAATGTAATGTTATGTGTCAAATATATTTCAATAAAAAAACTTTTAAAAGGTAGGCACTGTATAGCAAAATCAGTACTTGTATTTTTTTTTTTTTTTCTATGAACAGAAGAGCTAATGAGAGAGCTCGTGTAAAGGGAGGTAGACGGTGGCCTTTTAATGGCCAGATGTGACATGGAAGGGACAGAAAAGGGTCAAGGGCTGAAATAAAAAACTAGCCAAGTGATACCTATACTGAGGTACTGAGTGTCTGCACTAAGGCAGAAATTAAGTTTGGGAAGAATGGGGTGATTACATGTTTTCTGAGCCCAGTGCTCAGCATTTTACAGTTGACTGTACCCTGAAAGTTCCTTTTCTTAGCCTAAATCCTTTTCCTTACAGATCAGAAGTTACAGTTGGTCTCAAAAGACAGCTTTGTTCCTTGCTATACAATTAAACTTGGGTTTCTTTTCTGAGCTGCTGCCATCTGCACACCTTATGTTATTGGGACACAAGACTGGTACATGCTATTTCTTACTGAGAATGACATCAGAAATATGGAGTCACCCTCTGCAGGACAGTGCTTCTGCCACTGCCCATGAAATAGAAGTCAAGGACTGAACAGGAAAAAGACATGAGGCATAATTAGTTTTATCCTCCATGAAGAAGTTATTTCACAAATAATGAGGCAGAACCTCTCCAATTTTAATAATAATGGACTGTATATCATTGAGATGACTGAATCAAATTAATGTTAGCTACTGGTAAAAAATAAAACAACATGATAATAAATGCAAAGGCTTTTTTTTTTTTATGCAATTTAAACATATGATTTGAGAAGAGTCAAGTTTCAATTCCTAACCAACTATCTTCTTTCCTTTAGAGAATATAGTACATAGGGCTTTTTACAGTATACAGCTAAAACTATTCTTCCCTGAAGTAGAAAATGCTGGGGCAACAATAATAATGATAATGCATACGGTTAAGTAGAGAACTCAGGTGAGAGTCCACCAAAAAATGGCTCAAGTCAGCTTCATCTTTGCCAGAGAGGCTCTGCAGATGTAGATAGCGACAAATACTCAGATTCCCGTGTTCCATTTCCAATTCACGCCCTCGTCTGTTTCTCTGGCCGTTAATTCCTGGGTTTCTCCCTTTGCCCTCACAAAGAGGCATGAAACTCCTCATCAGGTGGTAGGACAAACGATAATCAGTGTTATCCTAGACATTTCATTACTCAAATAAGCATAAAATGATTATATGAAATCCCTAGGAAATTGAAGTGGCCTTCTTTTTGCTTTTAAAACTATACTTTGACTAATAGAAAGTCTGTTTTATTTAACATCATCTAACAAGACCCCCTCAAATATATCTCTCTTCCATGACCACTGTTATATATAATCTAGAGCATTATAAAATGTTCTTCTGATCTAAACTAGCAACTTGACTAGATTCATTATTCACTTTGAACTAATGAGATTATTTTTACAAGTGATGTTATTAACGGATTGCATAATATCTATCAGATAAAATACTAATACCATGTTGAAAGCAAGCAAATTAAGTCATCACAGGCCTAGAAAAGCAACGACTGAGACTGCCAGAATAGTCTGATTTGTAGTAAATTCATACTTAGCTATGAAGTATCCTTAAGTAGTAGCTCAGACTGTTTTTTCCTGCTATTATTTTTCGTGTGTGAAATAAATCTGTGAAGCCGACAAAGACTAACCGGATGTACAAATTTGAGCTTCTAATGAATACAATGACATTTAAAAAGTCTCAAAGGTCACCTTCATATTACTAAAGTAATTCCACTGAAGTCAAAAACAATGTAAAAATATTTAGAGAAAGGCCCAGGCAATGTCATTAGTATATATTGGCCAGAGGCAAAGGGTAAGGGGGATGAGGCAGAGATATTCCATATTTTATTACGTAAAATCAATTGTAGCCTTCTCCTATTAGAAGCATTCAATAATCCTTAAAAATATTGTCACCCATAAGGTGATGTTTTGGCATTACCATATATCTTACATAGTTTTATAAACAAATATCATGTTTAATCATTAAAATATCTTGATCATGTGCATTTGTGTTTCCAATGGAAAAAAAATTGTAATATAATGATAGCTTATATTTGTATAACAGCATAATTTACAACTGCTTTACCTCGTTGGATTTTAAAGGTCTCCTATGAAGATTATAAGAAAAGCATTATTTCCCCATTTTGCAAATAAACAAAGACAGTAAGAGGCCGGTCTAAAATCACCTGTATTCAGCTTCAAAATCCAGGGATTTTTTTCATTGAGCTTTGCTCTCCCTTGATTTGCCCTTTGTGTAGTAGGAAGGGCAGAAATGTCACCTCCCTTTAAAGAGGAGATTAAAATTGCAGTGGCAGAAACACCAATGACCCCGGTGAGGCAAAGCCTCCCGACAAAATTCTGACTGATCTCTTGATTTATTAAAAGCACTGCTTACAGCAAAAGGGAATAAAACTTATACAATTTTTAATTTCCCTGTCAAAATTATGGGATCAGATTGTGGAAACTGAATCTTTGTATGTAAGGGTAAAACATGAGCTGAGATCAATGCTTGATCATGACTTTGCATTCAACCTATTACATGTATGTATGCACACATAGATGTATAGATGTACATTTTTTTCCCCAAAGGAATACAAACAAATCGTTCACCTTATCTTGAAAACAGTATTTAAAAACATTGCAAAACAGCACAGAACAAAAATGAGTCACTCAACTCCCAGGGGTTAGATTTTATGACTGACTTGGTATAATTAAAACAATAATAATCACAAAAATGAATCTGTCCTCCTTGACTATCTGCTAAGAATTAGGTCCATATCATTTTGACTTACACATATAAATTTTATAATACCACTACCTTGCTTTGATGTAATATTTTAATTTTTCAGCAGGCTCTCACATGCTAATATACACTGTTACGCTTCTGGGTTTAATGAGAAAATCATCTTCCTGTCTCTGGGCCTCACCTTGTGAAGTCTGTCATTTCCATCATGATCATACACATCTGCTTGGCCAGCACAATTATATCATTGCCGCTGTCATCCCATTTGGCCACTTCGGCATCCAGCTTGCTTTTCTCTTGGTGGAATATCTCCACCTGCTCAGCTATTTTTGCCTTCTCCTCCTGCGGTAGTTGTGCCATGATGGCCTGTGTGGGTTACAGAATAAGTGTGACTAATATTGACAAAGTAAAGTAGGCTGACTCTGCCTTAAGTTAATGGCAAAGCCAGACCCCGACAAGGTTTATAGGCTGCCCCGCCATTCCAGAAAGTACGTTTTCTCCATCCCCAGGAAAGCAAAAGCATAGACTGGTAACATCCCCCAAATCCCCGTCCCTATTCCTATACACACACAAAAATAGAGAGATCCAAAAGGTATGTGCACATTGACAGTAACAGAACTTCTGTGTTGCTTTGATGACATATGTTTGTTCAAAAGAATCTATTCTTGACAATTTTTATATTTGGTCTCAAGAAACTTTTACCAGATGAAAGAATGCACCTCTTTCAACACTGAAATCTGTTCAGAGAAGGAAAAAAAAGAAAAAAGGCTTTCTGTCGCTGGAAAGAAGAAGAATTTTAAACAATATCTGAGCATCCAAGTGGGGTGGAGAGAATTTCCATGAGTGTTAATGAAGGAATGCATGATTAGATACCAAACAATCCCCTAACCCAAGGCATTTCAGGGATGGCATACCTATTCCCAGCCCTCTTCCATCTTCCCTGTGGAAATTCTGAGATAACCATGACTCCCTACAGAGCCTATTAGTATGCAGAAGTACAAGGTATGATGGGATAAAATATAGTTTAGGAAGTAAAGGTCGATTTTCAAAAGTTGCTAGGTAAGGGAATGTAGAAAAGCAAGAACTACAGCTGATTCTCATTATTCATGGAATCTTTCTATACAAATTTGCCTACTCTCTAAAATTTATTGGCAGCCCAAAATCAATACTTGTGGTGCTTTCTCGTCATTCACAGACATGCAGAGAGTTGCAAAAAATTGGGTTCACCTGTCAGGCCTATTCACAGATATGGTTGAACAAGGAATTCTCTGTCTTTTCGTTTCAACACTGAACAACAGGTCCCTTCTGTCGTCTATTTGGTGCCATATTTTCCACATATTTGTACTTTTTATTGGTAATTTTGCTATTTAACATAGCCCCCAACCATAGTGCTCAAATGCTTTCTAAGTGTCCCTAACCACCGAAAGGCTGTGATGTGCCTTATGGAGAAATATACATGTATTAGACAAGGTTCATTCAGGCATGAGCTACAGTGCTCTTGTCCGTGAGTTCAATGATAATGAATCAAAACTATAAAGCATATGAAAGGAAACATTCATTAAACAAGATTCTGTATTTATTGGTTGAAATAAAATGTTGAGACCAGGAGCTCTCAGGAACCTAACATTATTTCCTCTAAAAGCCATGACTCCATAGCTGCTAATTAAGTGTTCATGGTGATGTTATAGAATATAGGTACCACAAATAAAGACAATCAACTGCATTTGGTAAATACCATGTATGCATTGCCCTGAATGCAATGTCTGGAATCATTTCATTCCATCCTCATAGAACCATGTGTGACCTGTTTCATAGAAAGGAGCATGTGGATAAGTATGACAGCACTAGTAACCCTCTGGTTCTGGGATATGTATGTTCAGTAATGAAAGCATGATTTGGGAAACTTAAAACTTTTGCAAAGGACAAGTAAAATAACACATACAATAAAGCCTTGCTTCCTAAATTATAAAGTTTGTCCTAATGTAAGTAAATTATTGGGAAGAAAGGTTGTTGATTTCTAGTAAAAATATCAATGGACATAAACTCAGGAAAACTGGGCTCAATGGGCTCTATCACTGACTTAGGTTAAGACTTAATCACTACTGGATCATATTCTTAACTTCTTCAGATCTAAGAATAGTAAAAAATTACCTCAGGGTGTTATAGTGGACAGCAAATGAAATAACAAAGGTGTTGTGTTTTTTCCAAAAAGAGAAACGAAAGCATCTATGGGATTATTGTTAATATATTAGTATCATGACTATATTAGTTTTCCTTTCCAGCTACCCCTTGAGCTCATTACTTAGTTGCTATGAAAGAGAAGGGATGGGCCCAGAGTCTATGTTAGTATACATAAATAGACAATTGACATGATTCCTTGAGTACAGAAATGTATACCAGGTACTGTGCTAAGAGGCTTATGTATGTAAAAAAAAAACAAAACAAAACAAAACAAAAAAAAACAAGAAAACAAACAAAAAAAACAATCTACTTAAGCATTCTACAAGATTAATACTATTATTACCGCTATTTTATTAATGGTGATACTAAGACCCAGAGAAATTAAATTCTCAATATTACACAACTAATAAGCTGTATGTATAGGATTCAAACCCAGGTCAACTAACACCATACTTAACTACCGTGTACAAGTGGATCACCATGCACAACTATACAGGTTTGACACTACACAATGATCCCATTCCAGTGGGGCAAGTATTGCTGAAATCACAAGCATTGTTCACCAGGCTGGACATCCTAGAGATGAGACTTTATTTGCCTGAGTAAGGTATCTCTTTGTATAATTTAGATGAAGGTGTCCTCAGACAAGTAGCTGCACAGATACATCTTACTAATATATAGCCATGTGTACAAACTTCCATGCAGGCATGTGTGTGGCTTTATATAACTAACATGTGAGTGTCTGTGTATGTGTATGTGAGTGTCCATGTGCATATACACAAACTGCTATCCATATTTAAAAAGTCAGACTGGGACAAATACAATATGGTTAAAATAGTATTTTTGAAGAATATTTTAAAGTACTTTAAAAACTATCAAAAAGGTGGCTGATATACCGAAGAGTTGATTATAAATTCAAATATGAAATACTGTACTAATAACAAGACAGCTATCCCATTGCATTTGAGATAGGTATGGATTTGCAGAAGTTAAATATGCACTTTTTTCCTGAAGCATCCCTGTCTGATGATCTGATGCTGTCCTAGATTAATTTGTCGTCCTCATATAAAACTGATATTCATGTTTTACTTAGGCCTCAGAAGTCCTAACTAGAATTATGTAAACCATTTATTAGGTGCTTTTCTGTAGAAGAATCTGTAAAACTACCCACCAGACCTTCAGACTCTATATTCAATACCCAGATGGAAAGCAATGAAACTTTCATTGTCTCAAAAGGGTTAATTTGTGCATTGAAGGGTGTACACTTTTCTTTGAACTGTCACATGAGTTTCAGTTGTATAATTTAGGATTTGGGTATTAACTGCCTTGTTCTACTCTCTAATTCCTATTGATGCCCTACTTTTGACTTCTCTCAGAGCTTCCTTAGGGTAGAGGCCTCAGCATCCTGCAAACAGTAGAAGCTCAATATATATCTTCTGATTGACTGTGTAACCATTTTTCCACTCACTGCATCAACAGAGTTCAAAAGAAGTTACTAGAACTGACAAACATTTTCTAAGGGCACAATTCTGAAGAAAAAAAAAATGGCCCCTTCAAAGCAGATTTGCAAAAGAACATGTTATTTTGACTCTAGGGGTGCTCAACCCACATAATGCACTTAATGGTGTGTGACTTGGGTGCAAGTGTCATTACATTTGCTTCTGCTTATGTAGCTATCGATGAGCCAAAGTCTTTTCCTAAATATTCTTAAAATGCTCCTGGCTTTTAAAAATTCATAATTGACCTTTTCTGAAACTGGAATCTTAAAAAAGGGTTATCTATAAACAGTAGATCACAAACTGCAAAATTTGCAAGTTAATCAAATTAAAATTCAACACATGCGTTTTAATTAGGTCTTATCAATGTAACTCAGCAGTTTGAAATGTTAACACATTAAAGTTTTAGCTGGAAAAAAAAAAGATGACTACATTCAAATCAAGTTGAATAGAAAATATATACTATGCAATTGTTCATTCCCTCAAACTAAGGCAACATGAGAAAAATGATTTTCATGGCCAAGAGGAAAGGGAACAAATCAGCTTTTCTGTATCTGTGATGTGATCACCTGGGGTGGTCTTAGAGTTTCTGCTGGTTCTATGCATAGTAGCCAAGCACAGCTCCAGAGACTGGTTGATCTGGGGCCCCATACTGTGGCATCAGAGACTTTAATCCACAAAATTCCCTGCTTCTTGATCCCAGGCTCTCAGCTTTTCTTCTGAAGAGCCAACCATTTTTTTGTGATTGAAATTATAAACTCTACTTATTAAACCAAAGTGCAAATCACTGATACAAGCCAACAATCACTCTGCCCAGAATTTTTTCTTCAATCTAAATCTCAGGAGCTTTTGATATGATTATTTTTCCAATCTCAAAGAGAAAAAATTACTTTGGAGTCTATGAGCCTCCAAACTGACAAGTGTTAGTTCCTTAAGCCAGAGTAAGAGTCTAACATTTAGGCTTAAAGTACATCTTTATAAATAAGTGATTAAAAGGGCTAAAACTCAATGTGTCAATTTCTGCTCACTTGGTTTTAAAGCAGAATAATAAATATAAGTAGTTAAAGAGGGTCCTTTGACTTTTACCAGTCTCAGGCCCTGAAGTAAACAGGAAAATTGAGTTAATTATCCCATTATTTCAAGTAAAAACTTTCATGATTTCCTAAATTGTCCATGCTCTTTTAGGTTAAATTATTTGACCAGCCTTCTAATGAAAAACTGCCTTATGCTATAAGCATTATCATCATCATCATCTTTATCAACTTCATATTATGTGACACATCTTATGATACAAATTTTATCATGCAGTTTTCCTAATCGGACATCATGAGGTAGACAGTGGAGGAGGAGAGGGAGAGAGAGAAAGAAAGGGAGAGGGAGAGAGAGATAAAGCATAGAGAGGCTAAGAAAGTTGCCCAAAGAGACACAGCTTGATCAAGACAATATTTAAAATCAGGTCTGGGGGCGCCTGGGTGGCGCAGTCGGTTAAGCGTCCGACTTCAGCCAGGTCACGATCTCACGGTCCGTGAGTTCGAGCCCCGCGTCAGGCTCTGGGCTGATGGCTCAGAGCCTGGAGCCTGTTTCTGATTCTGTGTCTCCCTCTCTCTCTGCCCCTCCCCCATTCATGCTCTGTCTCTCTCTGTCCCAAAAAATAAATAAACGTTGAAAAAAAAATTTTTTTTAAATAAAATCAGGTCTGTATGACTCCAAATTATATATTCCATCACTAAGGTTAAGTGCCCAAAAGTTTTCATTGACCAATTTTAACTACATCAACCTGTGAAGAAGCAGTTTTTAAGATGTCATGTCTAGGATCATAGGGTCTGATTCCTCCTACATTTTAGCAGGGTATGATAATTATCTCCCTTTCCCTCTCTCAACAAAATACTGTAGAGAAGCATCAGATAGGGACACATAAAGGAAATAATCTAATTTCAGAATTTGGGAGCAATGTTAGAGTAGGTACTAAAAGCTTTTCTCCTACCTTAACCTCCTTATAGATTAATTTACCCTTTCAGAGAGGAAGAATTTATCTGAATGCAAACAAAAAATAAGGCCGTTAACAAGGAAGGACTGACTGATACAAAGGGCAACTACCTCTGTCAAAGACAACTTTGGTCTCCTTCACAATTTTGACCAAGTTAACATACTTCTCTGGTCAAAAGTTCGACCATCTGTCATCTCAGCAATTCAATGCACCCTCTTATTTCCAACTTACAGCCATAATTCTAGGTCTCTGATTTGTCATCATATAATTACAGGCTAAAATAGGCTGACTCAATAACTAATGCTGTCTGCTGCAAGTTAATCACACAGGCCACATGATGGATCTCAAAGACAAATCACCAAGTACTGGATTATAGGGGTACTTTGTTACTATCCTGGACTGTGTTCATAATTCATGCTGAAAAACCTTTAAAAAAAAAAAAAAACAATTGTCTTTTCACCTACTGGGTGAAAAATATAATAGATGATATAGACAAGTGCCATCTGACTTCTGTTTTCACCCATCTTAATTGACTTGATATCTAATGTAAGATGCATGAAATGGAAGTACAATGGGACTACATTCTTGTAAGAAGTGGGACTAATAATGCCATTTTGACAAGATGGTGATTATAAAATACGATAAGGGTTGTAAATATGCCTTGATCATTGAGACAAGATACTGGGCTGTATCAACACTGAATTGCATTCAGTCAATCAAACTGACTTTGAATTGATTAATGTTTGGATGAATTACTCAAATTTGCCCTTTGTCATGGACACAAAAATGCTGGTTTTATTTAATTCTGAAGAGGAACTGACCTGATGAATGAGATGATTTAGTGTTATGCCAAAACAGGCTCCAAAGCCTCTCAGCTTAATGAACTTCTCAAATTTCAACATTGGGAGTGGGGGAAGGATTACAGTCCACAAAAGATTTGCCAAGTAGGGGGCTTCATATTCTTTTGTGTACTTTTCTACTGTCACTAATCTGTGATAGAAAATGATTTCTCGTCCAAAGGATGACAATTTTCAGTCATTCTTTATGGAGCACTTAATGTATGTCAGGTATTCTGTTCATTTTTTTACAAATATTAAGCAATTAAACCTCAAAAGAATTCTATCAAGTCTATTATTCACATTTTACAGATAAAAGGACTGAGGCTCATAGCAATTAAGCAACATGTAGTGGAGCATTGTCCTCATTCCACTCTTTACAATTCAAAACCAAATCTGTCTGAACCAAAGCCAGTGCATCTTTAATATTTTGGCTTTTACCCTCGTATTTCCCCTATCAATGTCCATCTATATATCTTGTGAATCATTTCACTGTTGGATGAGAGTACCAGGGCATAAAGCATGAAAGAGAAATTGGGTTATAAGTACAAAGATTTTCTTAACATAAGGTTTAGTCCTCTTTGAGTCCTGTTTATTTATTTATTCTTTATTTTTTTTAATATGAAATTTATTGTCAAATTGGTTTCCATACAACACTCAGTGCTCATCCCTACAGGTGCCCTCCTCAGTGCCCAGCACCCACTTTCCCCTCCCTCCCACCCCCCATCAACCCTCAGTTTATTTTCAGTTTTTAAGTGTCTCTTATGGTTTGGCTCCCTCCCTCTCTAACTTTTTTTTTTTTTTTCTTCCCTTCCTCTGTCTACTCTTCTTTCACAATTCCTAAACCAGTGTGAGCTTTCTGGGGTTTCCTAATCTCTTTCCTAAATCACTCAGACTCATGCTTCATATACAAACTCATGTTTCCTATACATTATTTTTCCTAAAGTAAAGCATAATAGAGAATTAAAATACTCTAACTAGAATATAGTAAGAACTCGATCTATATAATGAGATTGTTTTCACCCTATGAAAACTGAGTCTTTAAAGGGAGGATAATCTCACCCTCTTTTATAATCCCCAAGGATATAATCTCTTGAAACTTGCCTTGATTACCTGCATCTACCCTCAAGGAGATACAGTTAATAGGATTGGTCAGAATCCTCTTAGAAACACTTTTGTTGGTAGATAGTGTCACTGAGTGTTCAGGAATGTTCAAATGGCAGCCAGAGCAATAAGCTTTCTGTTGCTTCCTGCTCCATGCCTTAAACTGGCATATTTCTAATATGTCTGTATAATTTCTTTTTCTATCATGTGGCAGACAGATCTAGGGCTACCACCCTGGCCATAAGCAGGTATTAGTGAGAGGGAGGGGGAGTTACTTCTCTATTCTGATGAATTTGGACCAATTTCAAAGATGTGGTCTTGTTCACCAGAGACCCTAGGCCAGAACATGGAACAGAGTATGGAGCCCATAACAAAGTAGCGCTCTAATTTTCCATTTGTCCTTCCCTCTTGAGTTAATAAGCTTGGCAACCTCAAACAGAACTGTGGTGTCTGTGCCAATACAAGATCTGAGTATTCATGTGTTCCTTAGCTGTTGAACTATCTATTCATGATTCCAAACCAATAAAATCCACTATACTCTTAAATTGTTTGGAGTGATGTGGCTGCTAAGTCTCAAGTGATGGAGAGAAAATGGAGTTAATAGGAATCAGAAGCACTAGTGGTTATTTCCATTGTGTAAAATATGAATTGCGGGGCGCCTGGGTGGCTCAGTTGGTTAAGCGTCCGACTTCGGCTCAGGTCATATCATGATCCGTGAGTTCAAGCCCCACATTGGGCTCTGTGCTGACAGCTCAGAGCCTGGAGCCTGCTTCGGATTCTGTGTCTCCCTCTCTCTCTGACCCTCCCCATTCATGCTCTGTCTCTCTCTGTCTCAAAAATAAATAAATATTTAAAAAAATTAAAAAAAATAATATGAATTCCTAAAAACAACCACAAGTAAGAAGGCAGATTTCTGAGCTATGAATCTCTGGGATTCCAAGACTCTGGTCAGAAATACCCTCAAATCAATGTGGTGTAAATAGCCCCGGTGCATGAAACCCAAGTCCTGGATGTCCACTCACCCGTGCACTCTGTCCTGCAATGAGCTGGTCATCCTCAGTCTGAACACTTGTCCGGCTGCGCACATCATAATCCTCCTGCTCAAAGTCAGAATCATCTTCTAGTTCTTCTGGGGTCTAAAAGTACAAAGGAAAGGAGAAGAATCAGCATATTCTAAACTGATAACCCTCAATGCCACCCATATACTTTGTGGCAGATAAGGCTAAGTGGCTCCCAGGAAAGAGAGCTTGTAGGCAGTTACATGTAGGGGGTTATGGAGGGGGGTGCTGGCTGCAATGGAGTCAGAAAAATCTAGCTGCCCCAGTTTACCTTTTAAAAAATATATACTTTATTTCTTCCTCCTGTAGGTATTAAAATGCTATTTAACTCTTGACATGACATGCTTTCTAGTTTTAAGACAAACTATATTTGTGTTTTTTCCATCCATAGAAATCTATTTAAGATAGAAAATAACCACCACCAACAAAAGTTATACCTATACGTGGTCTATAATACCCTTTTTGCTCTATTCCTAATCTTTTTTAGTCTTGATAGTGAAAATAATCTCCAAGCCAATGGTTATTCCAGATGAAGTATCTGATGTGGTCACTAAATTGTATACTGTACAGGTTGCGACTATGGATTCCAGACTCAAGACTGCCTGAATATGAACCCCTGTGTGACTACTGGCAAAATCCTCTTAGTTCTGGTTTCCTCCCTTGTGATATTGATAAAATTTGTTCTGTGATTTTTGTGAAGATTAAGTAATATTCTTTGTGTAGAGTGTCTAGCATATAATAGGCATTTAAAAAGTGTTTTCCATCATAATTTCTTAGGATTTTGAAATCAATTCATTCAAACACTTTTAAAAAGTAAAGCCAACAATTACTACACAAGTACAAAGGATTAAATAACTCTTTCATACATAGTATCAACTTAGCTAAAACCAAGCACAGTGAAATAAGGATCATTCTCTATTTAGAGATAAGAACACCAAGGTTCTGAGAAACAACATGTCCAATGTCCCTAACCCAGTTAACAACAGAATTAGAATTTAGACACAAGTGCCCAATTGTGTCTAACTTTTTCACCTTATAAATCAGGTAAGAATTGCAGCTGTAGAATGTCTTTAAAGTGAGTAGTTACATGAAGATCCCATCCAGTGTCAGAAAAAAGTGTATGAATTAATCTACAAATCCAGAAATAAAAATACTCCCCATCTTTAATAACCATAATAGATAACATGTGTTAAGTGGTTTTCATGTGCCAATGCCTATCTTCTCTAAGCACTTTACATATACTAATTCATACCATTTTCTTAACAGTCCTATCATGCAGACACCATTTTCTCCACTTTACAGATAAGGAAACTGAGGCATGAGAGATTATACCTGCTCAAAACTTTCTAAATCTTGCAGCATGTACCGTAGACTATCATCTCTGTTAATTCTAAGAAGATGAACTCGGGGGTGGTGGGGATGATTCACAAAGGGGACACAGTGCATTAGTGTGACATTCTTAGATCAATGGTCATTAGACTGAGATCTGACAGTCACCCACAAACTGCCTCCTGGCACACAGTAACACCATCTCCCAGGGCTCTGTATTTCAAAAGGAAGAAATAGACTGATGATACAGGTACCCATTCCTCATCCAAAAGGGCACATTTTTATTCTGCTGGTTTCTTTGGCTACCTCACTGTAATTAATCAGGTGTGGTTATTGATGAAGGCTTGAGATTGGTCAGACAGGCATAAAATGGGGTCTTCATGCCAATATCACCTTATGTGTAGTAATTTTCCAAGCTTTCGCATATCCTTCTTGTTTTCCTTCTCTCTCTCCATCAACCCTATTAATATTCACCCAGTCATCTACAGATGTTCAATTTTCTTTCACAGAATTATTAAAAGAAAGAGGGAAGAAAGAGGTTTTGTTCCCATACTTTATTAACTAAAGGAGGGGTGGGGTGGGCAGAACGTGGTTCAAATAACTGGTTGTATTTTCATTGCGGACAGAGACAATAATCTCTGATCATTTTTCACTCGTCTGAAATGTACTAGAGAATAATTACAGCAAGTTGGTAAATTCTGCTGACGGATGAGATGACAAGATTTCAAGTGCTTTTCATCATTAGTTTTTCAAAAGGAGAGAGAAAAGTAAAATGAAAAACCTCACTCAACAGAAAAAAAGGGAAAATATGACAGTGCCTATAGCACTGTGTCCAAACATTTCAGTGATCTGTGTGTTTAGTAGATGAGTCAATGACAAATACAACCTGGCATCATACGGTTAATAATGATGAGCTTTCATTCAAGTGACTATGGCTCGGGAACCAAAACAAAGTTTAAAAAAACAAAAAACAAAAAAAACCCAGAAACAAAAAGCCCAAAACACAAAAAACCTGGAAGTGGACCTAGGGAACTGGAATGTTTTTGGCCTAACTTTGCCACTCACAAACTGTGTGTCTTTGGCAAGTCATGTACAGTTTTTCTGCTTCTCTATCTTCTCACTCATAAAATGGAGATCATAATTCCTATTTGTCCCATCTACCTCTCAGGATTGTAGGATAAAACATATATGAAAATGCTTTGTAAATGATAAAAGCGAACTAAAGTAATATGTGATAATGATGATTATTATGCTTAACAAAATATATACCCAATACCAACTGCAATGATAATAATGGGAATAATTTTTTACCAACCACCATGGGCCGAGCATTCAGCTAAAGGATTTACTCCATGTAAAAACCTAATGAAATACATTGAATCCCCATCTTACAGATGTATAAACAGACTCAGAGTCAAGTCAGTTTTCCAGGGTGTTACACCTAGCAAGTTGAGGGGGCTCAGGGCCTATGCCTGTAACCATCACAAGTAACACCAGGCAAATGGGTGAGCTTAAAATATTTTCTTGTGCCTTAATCATGCAGCAAACCCATCCAAGTCACCCATATAAATGTTTCTGTGCAGGGTGCCTGGGTGGCTCAGTCTGTTGAGCATCTGACTCTTGATTTCCTCTCAGGTCGTGATCCCAGTGTCATGGGATCAAGCCCCATGTCAGGCTCTTGGCTGATCATAGAGCCTGCTTAATATTCTCTCTCCCTACTTCTCTTCTGCTCTCTCTCTCTCTCTCTCTAAAAAGTTGTGTGCATGTTCATTTTGTTAAGTGCATGAAAGCACTTTTTTTTTCTTTTAAAAAGTAGCAGTGTTGGGGTGCCTGGGTGGCGCAGTCAGTTAAGCGTCTGACTTCAGCCAGGTCACGATCTCGCAGTCCGTGAGTTCAAGCCCCGCGTCAGGCTCTGGGCTGATGGCTCAGAGCCTGGAGCCTGTTTCTGATTCTGTGTCTCCCTCTCTCTCTGCCCCTCCCCCGTTCATGCTCTGTCTCTCTCTGTCCCAAAAATAAATAAACGTTGAAAAAAAAAATTAAAAAAAAAAAAAAGTAGCAGTGTTATGTGTCAGTTGCTCAAAGATCCCCATACATTAAAGGAGACATGGAAAAATAGTGAAGGTCTGCAAATGGGCCCAGAGATAATAGGACTTATATCATTAGGTAGTCTTATAGAGTAAAAAGAATCACCAAAATGTGTAATTCACTAGATTGGAGGCTGGACTCTGAGGGTCAAGTCTCAATTCTGTCTTTCTGTGCTCCCAGGGAAGACTTTTTTACAATAATCAAGAACCACTTTGGGTCTACTCTCGGTTCCCTAGGTCTATTATCTGATTGTTAGACTGCAAAAGTGGGTTTAATTTGAAAAATGACACAATTAAAGTATTTGGTCTCTAAAATCTGCCCCCTCTAAGAGTCTATGAGATTTTCTTGTGCCTATTACACAGGCTCAAGAAAATCATGTGCTTGTCCAGGCGGGTCACAACACATGCCAGTTGCAGAAAAGGACCAATCCGCTTGCCTCTGGCTCCTAATCAAATGCTCAGTATCCTCTAAAACAGTTTCTGGAGAGAAGCAAAATGAGAAAAGACAGAGGGATTTAGAGTTGTTTCACCAGGACGCATGAAAAATATATTGAGGCCCATTTAAAATAAAGGCTCAAATGCGTATGGGAGTTTCATTAGGAACAGAAAGATGAGGAGGACATGGAGAGGCAACAAGAGAGTTCAGGTGATGCATGAAGAAGGATTTCCCAAGCAGAATGACTATACCAATGGAATGGAGAAAACAGAATTACATTTCCCTGAAGTCAATGTAGAGCCAAGTCACCTCAGTCAGGACTGACTGGCCATTGGCACCTCTATCCTGCGTCATTCTGAAAGACTCTTGATTGATCTCCTTGCTTCTATTTTTTCCACATACAGTCTACTCTTAGGGTGAAGATCCCTGGAAGATCTAAGTCAGCTTAGAACACTTCAATGGCTCCCATCGCATTCAGCATGGTCCTTAGTCTGCACCTGCCATTCCTTCCACCTGGAACACATTTCCTCTAATATTGTTATAGCTTGTTTCCTCCTCCTCCACGTCTATTCTCAAATGCCACTCAATCAGTGACCATCCTTCATAAAATGAATACCCGTCCTGTGTTCTATCCCCTTATACTGCTTGTGTTCCCCATGGCACAATAACTGACATGTTCTATCTCCTTGCTTATTTTCTGTCTTCCACCAGAGGAATATACATCTCTTGATGCGTTTTGTTCACCTCTGCATTCAGGGTCCCTCTAACAGTGTGGGGCATCTAGTAAGCTTTAAATAAATACTTAATGAACAGATAACCAAGACAAAATTACCTAATTTTTCTTAAAATCATAAGACATTATTTCTAATTACTTGTCTTAGGAAAACAAAACGAGGAACCTTATGGAACCATGTTAATTAACTGGATAATAGCGATCTGAAAGAGGAATATCAATTTTGCCACCAAAGTTGTTTCTGAAGTCTCCTCAACTCTTTATTTTCTAGCTCTGATGAGTAACTCTAATCCCTGCCATTTTAATAATATTGTTAACTTACTTGACAAATTCTATTTCGTTAATGGATTGTAATAAGAAACTTCACCCCAGCAGAATGAGAAAAAATATTTCTTGGGAAACTACTGCCAGTTGTATGCTAGTACTTTATAGCTATGGCCATATTTGTCCTCGTTTGCAGATAAGCAAACTGAAGCAGAGATGAAAATCAGTGTGCCAGTGATGCTCAAATACTTAGCCATAGGTCCTCAAACTTTATTGCTTGAAGCACTGTGTCTCAGTCATCTTTTTCAAGGTGCCTCTGTGCTAAAAACAAAACAAAACAAACAAAACAGCGACAAGCCTAACAGTTCTGTTGATGAAGCAGTTAAATCACAAAAATGGATTAAGTTGATTAGACTTAACAACATGACTTCTCAAATCCTGGAATACAACTGAACATCCACTGAGTTTCCTTTTTCTCACAGCAACCACCAAAAGCCCAGCTTCACAAATACAGGATGTTATTAAAACAAATACACCAACCTAGTGTTTAAACCGTGAACTACTTTTGGCTAATATTTCCCACAATATCGGAGAGACATCTGCATGTTTCCCTTGAAATTTTAAAACATCTTACAATGCCCCAAGGGCCCTTTCAGGCACAGCTTGGGATAGATCAAGTTAAACTTTAGACTTTTATTTTTTTATTTATTGATTTTTAATGTTAATTTATTTTTGAGAGAGACACAGAGAGCGAGCAGGGGAGGGCACAGAGAGAGACACACACACACACACACACACACACAATCCGAAACAGGCTCCAGGCTCTGAGCTGTCAGCACAGAGTCTGACACAGGACTTGAACCCACGAACCGCAAGATCATGACCTGAGCCAAAGTGAGATGCTTAACCATCTGAGCCACCCAGGCGCCCCTAAACTTTAGACTTTTATCTGAACCCAGGCACTACTGTTTCTGTGACCTGCTTTCAAAAGTATCATGTGCAGCCAAATTAATGGGTTCCAATTACATTATAAAAGAATATAGATATCATAAAAGATTTTTTCAGGGTTATTGTTATGAGAAGAAATTACTGTTTTTTTTATAGCGATATCCTAACACCAAGATATTACCTCCTTCTACCCTACCCAGTTATCTTAATTTCCCATATTAAATGTCTAACTCTTAAATGTTAACTTGGTTCTCATTACCTGTAGATTCCTTATTTGTGAATTTGCCTACTCACCAAAGCTTCCTTGTAATCCCCAAATCAGTGTTTGGGTAGTTTTTCACAGACAAGTACAACGTGGCAAAAAAATTTGAGACACCTAATCTGTGTGCTCCCAGCTGAGGTCACATAGCACAAGGCTCTGCCTTTTTGTTTCAACTTTGACGCTATAAATAAGCATTCATTTTTTTCCTCTGCTTAAAATGTCTTGCAAGTACAGTGCTAACATGTTATTTAGTGTTCCTAAGTGTAAGAAGGTTGTGATGCACCTTACAGAGAAAATGCTTGTGTTAGATGAGCTTCCTTCAGGAATGAATTATAGTGAGGCTGGCTGTGAGTTCAATGTTAATGAGTCAGCACCATGTATTAAATAAAGTGTCTTTAAGCAAAAACATAAAATATAAAAATATAAAACACAGTTATATATTGATCAGTGGATAAGAATGTAAACAGAGGCTCACAGGAACCTAACAATGTTCCCTTTGGAACAATGTTTCAGTATTCTCTAACTCAAAGTTCACAGCAAGGTTACAGGATATAACTACTGCAAATAACGACCATCAGGTGTATTCCTTTTTTAAATTACCAGCTGGGGTAATTAGAAAACCCCTTCTTGGCTGATAGATTACCAAGGACAAGTCTCACCAAGAAGTAAACAAAACCTAGTCTCACAGCAGACTATACCTGTTCCAAGAGAGAAGTGGGGTCCTGAAAGGTGAGGTTGGGGTACAGAAAGGACAAGTTTTGTCTACTTCAGAGGGTTGTCTGGAGCTGCCCTGGAGTGCCTGGACCACATCACATTAAATATGTATTGATTAGTGAGAGGCAAGGTGATGGAGCACTTAACCCTTCAGGATCCATGATGCATTTATTTTCAGGGGTGAGGTGGGGGGAGGAATTATACTTTTTACAAAGTATAATCAACACTTTGGGAGGGAAGGGGGCATGGCCAGATTTGCTGGGAAAGAAACAGCTCTCCTCATCTCACTGTCTTTCTTTCAAACTCAGTGCAGTGGATTTTTAAGTAGACCTAATCATTGTACTAGGAAAGTAAACCAAGAAATTAAGTACAAGATGGAGCCATGTGGGTGCTGAACAGAGAAGGATTTTAAAAATAACAATTTGTACATACTGTACATTTCTCTCTTAAGTTTTAAGTGGTGTGAAATCCATCTGATCAAATCACTTGAAATGTCGAGATGCAGGAATGACACTACATGAAACAAAGATATGGCATTTTATCTAAAATTATGTTTTTTTACAGCTCACGAATGAATAAATGAATGATGGCTATAAACTTCCTCAGCCTCCCAGATGAATGGTTGTCACAAAAATGTGAAGGCTAACAAAGCAGAAAAATGGCAAAAGAGGGAATATATCTGGAGCATTATAGTGGGATTTAGTGTCAAATGCTTTGAAAACATAACTCTCATGGTCTATTACCTTATTTCACAAGTTAGTATGTAATGGAAAAAAATGATCTAATTTCTTATAGGTTTAAAAGCCTGTCTTTTTCTCTTTGGCTTCTCCTCCTCCAATTCTCATCCCTTTTCTCTCTGTCACCTTCCTATCTCCCCAGGTATCTGTTTCCACCACCACCACACATACAGTGCACATAAAGCGCCAGAAAATGCACCACAGTGCAGGGAAAATAAAAATACAAGCTTTGCTTTCCAAAATTTCAGTCTAAAGAAGGTAATCGACATAAAAGGGAATAATGTAATAAACACTATAGCAAGCAGAAAGTTACAGAAGTTAAAAGAGAGTGACAGAATTTTTGATGGCAAAAAACTTGAAGAAAGAAGGTCTCAGCCAAATCTTGAAAGGTGATGAAGTTGACAGATCTAAAACGGGCAAGTTAGAAGATCAGGAAATACAACCGATAGTCTCCAAATTCCAAATTTGAACTCCACATTGTTAAGTGTAATTAGTGTCGTCTGATACAACTTATGCAATGATCTGAACACTTTGAATTGATCATAAAATTATTATGAAAGGCAGACCTAGTTAACATGAAAACAGTCAAGCTGAATTTAAAGGGAAGAAAATTCTAAGATGCTTCACTCCCAAGTGAAGGAGTTTGGTGATCGTTTCAGGAGAAGCACAGATACCAAGAGGGAAAAGAGACTCTTCTTGGTGATACTCTACTCCATCTGCTCAGATCACCATGGAAGCATCAAGGTGCACTCTGGATACCACAGTTGAAGAGGACCACTCATGAATTTAATGACTTCAAACATACCAGGATTTGGGGGAGAATTAATGACATATACAAAATACTCAAAAGACCAGGTATATATTTTCCAGAGAGAACAATATACCACAGACATTATTTGGTTATTACTGTCTCGGAATGTTTGAGGAGATATTAGTTTAGATGTTCAGTGATCACCCTGAGAGAGTTTTTTTTCAAAATGCACTCAGTAGATATCTCATGGTTTTATTGAGCAGCTTTCGAGACAACGTTAGAGGACGAAGGTGAAAATACAATCCAGGCTGTTGCATCCAATATGGTAGACATGAGCTACAATGAGCTAGTGACACTTTAAATGTAGCTCATACCATGTGTCAAAAATTATTATGTTTTGGATACACTTGGTTAAGTTAAATATATTATTAAAATTAATTTTACTTGCTTCTTTTTTTTTCAGTGTGTCCACTAGAAAATTTAAACTTACAATTGGGGCTGACATTATATTGCTATTGGACAACATGTGCTTATGATTGGCACTGCAGAAGCCCCATCTCTGCTTCAGTCATAATAGTCACAAATGTATTTGTGTCATCAATTTTGCTTTTGAATGTTTCAGTTTAAGAATGAGTTCTATGAGTAAGAAAATTGTTTTCAAACTATGCCAAATTGTTGGTAAGATGAGGAGAAAAAAATATCTTACAATGAAATATTATGGAGCAATGAAATGGAACAAGGTAGGCTGTAGGTCTTAATACAGATAAATGAAGGCACATTGTGGGTGAACAAAGCCAGTTGGAAATAATAGTTATGTTGAGTTTTTAAATCTACTATATTTTGTATTTTTCTAGCATATACCTCTAAATAATTACTTGGACAATGGTTTGGAAGGCTCATACCTGACAAACTGATAACGGGAAGGTAGTAGGGTGAGCCATGGGTGGGGGGTGGTTTGCTGCAAGATTATGCAGCCTTATTTATCAGGTCTTAATTATTAGTTACAAGGATAATGTAACTGTTTCATATTATTATTATCGATACTATTAAACTGGATAATCTTCATTTCTTTCCATCACATGGCTTTCTGATCCTAATGGGAAAATAACATTAGTCAGAGGACCACACAGATAACAGCAAGGGTACCTGAAAGTTAGTATCAAATTTAAACCAAAATGCATGCCAGAAACAGGAAAGACATCACTTTTCAGGTTATTCAGCGTGAATCTAGGCTTGTTGGATCACTTGTCCCTTTTGTCTGAGTAGTCCCCCTTGTGTGACTAAATGAGGAGCCAAACAGCTTAACAAGTTAAATTAAGCAATGGAATAACCAAAAGTAAATTCTTTGGGATCCCTACAAGAAGCTCTGATCAGCTCCAAGCGATAGAGGCCTTACATACCCTGATCATCAGCACAGCCTTCCTGATGTCTCGAACACCATCATATACCAGGCGAGAGGCATCAATGAACTCATTCTCTTCAAATGGCTGAGGGACGTTGGCACTCAGGGCTTCAATGGCAACCTCTACTTGCTCAGCAAAGCGTGGCATCACTGCGTTAAACAAAGTGAGAAACAGTGGATTATGCGATCTTTCTTTCATGCTTCCTTTTCCAGCCCTTGTGCAAGGCGGCACACTCCAGTTATTCCAACGGTTCAATGGAGCTGTCTGCCTACCTGGTCAGTGGGATGGATCCAGTTTAGTGGTCTTTGTATCACTTACCTTCAGCAGAGAAAGTAAATCATTACTCCATGAATGGTGATGGTATACAACAGCAAGTTTTTGAAACTTGCTCAGGGTAGGGTGGTATAGTGTGCATACATACACATTTCATGTTCTCCTAACCTGAGTTGAATTTGACTTCTGATGGTTACTAGCTCTGAAACCTTGGCCAAGTTTTCTTAACTCCTTCTAAACCTGTTTCTTTGTCTATAAAATAGGAGGTCCTATCTTAAGTTTCAATGAGATAACACACACACATTTACTGGATGGTGTTTGGCCCTCAGAAAGCCTCTATAAGTATATAACTAGTATCATACGCTAAAGTCATAGGTGATGAGTGAGTAACAGACCTTAACCTATATGACTTCATAGTAATGTGTGAATGAAGTGATCCAATCTTTCCCACTTTTGTTGATACAGGACTTGAGATTAGAGGTGGGGGATGGTAGTGGGTGGAGGCTTATGGGAAGACCATACAAGAGGGGAGAAGGGATCCCAGGATACTCCTGCACAAAGCCTAAGGTTAGAGCCCAGTGGGCTCAAAGATGAATTTTATTTTGTTCCATATTCCCAGGACCATGCTGATGTGAAAGAAAAGCATATATGAATTTCTAAAATGTTAGCACCTCTTTCTTTACACAAAGACACCTACATACACACTGGAGGTTTGCAGAAAGTAAATTTAGTGGAATGTCTGGAACACTTCCACTGGCTACTTAAAACAAAAATGCTGCTGATTCACTGATTCTCAAAAATTATAATTCAATTTTTTCAGCTTTTATTTTGTAACAATCAATTCACATGGCAAATTAAAGCCAAAAGCACAATTCATTTTATTTACAAGGACAATAAAATAGAAACATCATTCATCTATTTTCCATTTCTGAACATTCATGCCTGATTCGTCTTTATACTTGTTTTCACCCTCTGTGGATACTTTAACATCCATTTTAATCCCTAGTGTGAGAAACTCTGCTAAATTACTTTCTAGGGTCAAAGTATTCAAGATAAAACATTCCTCAAAAAACGTATTTCTACTAGGAAAAGCCAAATGTTAAAAAGTATATTTTAAAAAAAAGAGGAGGATTACAGGAAAACAGAGTAACCATTTTTTCAATAGACATGATCAAAACCAAAGTATGCATGGGGTGAATTTCCTTCTGTGAGTGAATTACTATGATTGGTTCTCTATACCATTTGCATTTTTCATTTGTGCCTTTGCACTGCTTTTGCATAAAAGGAATTGGTGGACATTGAGTTGTACTGCTGCAAAAATCAAATAAAAATGTATGTCTAAAAACTACCACATTAAACTAAGGCCATTTCAGCTATCCATTTGTGCCAGGAACAAACTGTTTTACATGACTAAATAATCTCAATCATTGCAATTCACCTCCCTAAGCGTGAGAATATTGCTATATGTATTTGGCATTTTCACATGAGTATCTTTCTTAAACGAAATTACAAATCCCCTTCCTTTCCTCAACTGAAAATTCTCAATATCAATTCCATTCTATTTGATGTCCAAGCTGCCATCATGACCATTCACAATTTTACAGATTTGAATGGTACCATCAGTAGCAGTTAGCTGCCTGAAGTTTTGTCCTTATTGTTGACAATTACTATGCCTACATGTACGTAAAATACTCCTACATGGGCACCTGTGTGGCCCAGCTGGCTGAGTGTCTGACTCCTGATTTCAGCTCAGGTCGTGATCTCATGGTTGTGGGATGGAGTTTCATGTTAGTCTCCTCACTGAGCATGGAGCCTGCGTAAGATTCTCACTCCCTCTGCCTTAGCCTCCATTGGCACTTCCTCTCTAATATAAAAGAAAAAATGCTACTACAAATGAATAAGGCAAAAAAAAATAGAAAAATAGACAAAGGATTAGAACAGGTAATTCACAAAAATACTCAATCCCATATTATTGATAAACACATGATGTTTTATGTCATTAATAACTGTAAAACTTACAGCATAGGCAGTGAGATAGCAGTGCATACCTGTTGGAATGCACAAACAAACTAAAGCTTATTAACACCCCTCTCACCAAGCATGTGGAAAAAAAGGGAATCCTTCTACTGTAGATGGGAGTCAAAATGGGCACACATCATTCTGACAAACACTTTGACAAAATCTAATAAAATGAAGCTTTCCAGTCCCGACTGGTGAGCTGAGACATTTTCTAGAGCATGGCCAAATGCTGACTTCTAAAGAGGTACTTATTAGGAATGTTGAGAATATCGGAGTCACAGGAACACCTTTTCTCTACAGTTATAGCTTCTTCTTAACAGGTTGAGTACTCCAAGAGTTAAAAAGAGTTATATTAAACCTAGGAATAAAAGTAACAGCTTTAAGAGATCCCTTCTAATCAGCGGTATCCCAGGGCTGTCAAGGCCACTAAGTTGGAGGCTGGGGAGACATAGTGAGCTGTTAACTCTAGGTTCATGGGCAGTTCATCAGGATGGAATAAAATGGACTTAGGGATATAAGTCGGGAGACAGCCAGTATAGTCAAGAGAATAAGTCCCTAAGTTCAAAATATTGACTTGGAAGAGCAAACTGAAAAGAGATGTCATTTGTGAGAAATTTAAAAATACACGAGGGTACCGTGCATAATTTAAACATACATATTTTTATGACACATGTTCTGAGAGAATATATACCACCTTAAGTATAGTGGTTGTCCTTGAGGGGACAGAGGGCCATGGGATTAGGTAGGAGTCGTAAAGAGGCTTCAAGTGTATCTTAATTCTTAAGGAAATGATAATATGAATCAGATATTGCAAAATGTTAATATTTGTTATACCTCAGGGTAGGAGCAAGGTCTCAGTTACATTAGTCTCTGTCCCTTTTTTTATCTTTGAATCTTTTCATGATTCATATATTTTAAAAAGATCAACATATTATCCTTAAGGCTGTGCTTTTTTACAGAATAAGGCTCTGAAAAAATTAAAGTTCTAGCTCATCTATCAGAATGTAATAGAAAACAATATGATCAACAATATTTTTAATGTTTATTCATTTTTGAGAGTGAGAGTGGGGGAGGGGGAGGGGGAGGGGAAGGGGGGGGAGAGAGAGAGAGAGAGAGAGAGAGAGAGAGAGAGAGAGAGAGAAAGAGAAAGAGAGAGAGAGAGAATCTTAAACAGGTTCCAGGCTCACAGAGCCCAATGTGGGGCTCGAGCTCTGAGTGGTGACATCATGAGCTGAGCTGAAGTCGGATGCTTAACCAACTGAGCCACCCAGGCGCCCCATTGATCAACAGTATTGTGTGAGGAAGTCCCTCAGAAATTGTGACTGTGATCACACGCCTAATATTCAACCTTAATAACTGCCTGCTGGAGAACTGAGTTAGGTAATACTCACCCACTGGACCCCGGCTCTTGGGCACACATTTCTATTTTCATGAAGACCTTTGATGGAGTATAAAAGGGGAGATCAGCTTGTTGTGTGGCTTTGTTCTGCTTGTACAAGGTCACCCTGAGGAAGAGCTGGGGAGGAGCACAATGCAGGAGGTGACCTGCTAACTTTCTCTACCAGCTTCTAGGTCTGATTCTGTGCCCAAGGGAGAAAAGGGAAAGCTAACATCTAAAGGGACTACTTCCATAAGGGATGCTCTGGGGCCCAAAACCTGCCCAGGACTTCTCTGAAACCCCAGGTTTGGAGAAAGGCATTCTGTTTGCTCCAGCTGGAGTACAGAATCTCTCTAGGAAGATTTAGGAAGTGGCATGTTGGTATGAACAACAGTGTCGTGGACATGGCATTGTCAGAAGGGGAAGAAAAACAAAGCCCTTTGATAAAAACATTGGAACAGAACAGTACGGAACATCAACCTTCTAAGGAGGAAAAATGGTGGAGGAGGAGGTGCAGAATCTTCACTTTACCAGTGGGGGCTCAGATCTCAATTTATCCTTAATATTCCAACAATCTTATTATATTCAACCTGGTAAAACCCAGAACTTGAACTAATTGAATTTGATTTGATTTACTGTAACTGATAAGGCATCCATTTCTCTTACCTCAAATCAGTGTTTTTCCGGATCTGAACCTTAAGAAACTTTCTCCATGCTCAGCTCTTAAGTAGATTCAATACTTATTTATTGAGGGCTTAGTCAACTGCTCTTTAACCAATACACATTTTCTCCCCATGCTGTTGCTCTTTCCTGTTTAGTTTTTATCCAGTTTTGTTTTTTATCTTTTTCTAATTTTTTGACTGTTTATTTGAGAGAGAGAGACAGAGAGAGCACAAGGGAGAGCAGGGGAGGGGCAGAGAGAGAGGGAGGCACAGAATCTGAAGCAGGGTCCAGGCTGTGAGCTGTCAGCACAGAGCCCAATGTGGGGCTTGAACTCACAAACCATGACATCATGACCTGAGCTGAAGTCAGATGCTTAACTGACTGAGCCACACAGGTACCCCCTGTTTTGTTTTTTAAAGTGATAAGACAGAAAAACACAAGTTTATAGAACAATGATTCTTGACAGAACCTAAGACTTTAAACTATGAATTTTTCTAACGCCTCTGGTAGTATCTGAAAAATTAAATATCCCCAAAGTAATACTGAACTAGAAAAAAGTCTCAAACTACTTCAAATATGATGCTGCTTCTGCTTCCCAGTAATTAGGACAAAACACAGTATTGCCTTTGTGATTAGCACATTATATATTAACAGAATTTCTGGCATAGGGTTACATAAATAGAAGTTTCTACTTTCTGAATTACATCCAAAAATGTATACACCACTTTACTGTTATTTATCAGAAATAGTGAATTGCTCTTGTAGCTTATATTCTGAAAGGGTGATCAAAGTTGGAAATAAACTTGTAAATTCTTG